CATATGATACTGCAGTCTGACCCGCCTTTTTACTGTAAAAAGAAATGCAGAGCGCATTCATCGCTGCGTTTCGGTTTTTCGAAAAGAGTGTGACCCTCAATGTCAAAATATCCCAGTAAACCTACGATCAATTAGCATTTAAACAGGAGTTACTGATGGGATTAGTTCTACAAAATTATTGATCTTTGAGATCTACTTTGCCTCAATATTATCAGAGCATTAAGTCAGCAAGTCCTTCCTGGAACAAAAAGGTATCAATTCATAACAAACTTTACTATCCTTTAGCTAGAAAAGACTAGACTCATGGCAAATTTTGATCGGCTGCATACAGATTTGCTCAGCAATATGCATGTAATAGAAACAGAAATCTATTTTTCAACGTGTTTTCTCCTAAAGAAATTACGCAACAAATACTTATTAGTCGAACAGGAATAGACCTTCAGATAGCGGAAAAGAACCAAAATAATGCGCTGAGTTTATTATTTCTCATATGGACAGCGGGCCTGATATAGGATCCAACACTATCTGTATGCCCATAGTTTGCTGGACTAAGTAAGTATTATAACTGTTTACCTGCCAATCCTTCTACTTTCTCGTATAAATGGATTTAATAGTTGAGAGCTTATGTGCCCTTCATAACTTTTTGTACAGCTACAAGAAAGCAAGTTTAAAATAAACAACATATAGCAAGCATCTGCATAAAAACTCTTAAGCTATGTAGTTTATCTCAGCTATCGCGATGTATGGTACCAATTGTTTTTTGCTCCGAGACCACTCTTTTCTCATGATGGCTTATGATTTTTCTCAGCCATAACACAATATCCTCTTATGAATTGTTCGTGCTATGCAAATGAACATCGTTTTTCAGTTAAAATCATTAGGTTAACACATTATTTTCCGTGATTTCTTCAATTTTATTTGGAGGAAGTGCTATGCATATTTTGAAGTTTTCTCTTTGCTCTAAAAAATTACACTCCACGTTTTTCCAGGACTTTTGATTCAAATGCTGAGAATTGGAATATAGTCGCAGAAGATAGCATTTTTGACACCTGCTAGAGAGCTATTGAACGTGGCATAGAAATTTCGAGCTTTTCGAACGGGCTCGTGTAGTTTTGTTTATGAAGGCGACGCTATGTTTTGTAATACTGCTAAAAACTGGTCCACTAA